AGCATGTATCTTTACACCCTACAAAAAAAGAAAATAAACATTATAAGTTGATCCATGGCTGTTATTAACACTTATAATAATACATGAACTAACCTTGTCGTCGGAGAAGATCAACTCGAATGTCTCTCCAGTCATGTTTGTGTATTGGCGCCAAGAGTGTAGCACTTTGACTTGGACCCTCCAAGCTGTCTTGTAAGGACGTATGTCCCTGAGGTATGCAAATGTAGCAGCCATGTAGATATGTTTTTTGTGAAGAGTTTTTTTTGCTGTAGGGATTTTTGGGTGCTCTGAGTAATAGTTGTATATGGTTGTGCTATATATAGTGTAGGAGAGGAATGAAGTCGACATTAACCTAAATTTTACACGGCGTGGGGATAAAGTTTAGTTATTTGCAATATATTTTCGAAATGTAAAATGAGATCTTCAACCATGGAATATTCCAAATTCTCTCGATCGATTATATTAACTTCTTTCTTCATTTCAGGAATATAAGAATATATGATTGACACAATTGTGGAGAGCAGAGATATTCCAAAAATTAAGGAACCTAGTTTCGATATGAGATCTATATATGGTTTGTTATTTATGATATTAGTTTTAAAAGATTTTCAAAATACTTGTGATGATGTATTCGTAGGCATAGAGGTCGGTTATCATAACTGATAAAATCTTGTTAAACTAAATGTCTTGTTATCGAAATCTAGTCAGTACTGAATGTATCTTATAAACCGATTAAGTATATTAAAGACTTTATTAACCTTTTTATTTCAACAGGAATGAAGATTATTTGAAGGGCAATCGTTGGTAGGCGAAATAGAAGGATCCGAGTAATCAAATTGGGTTAAAGATTGGAAAATTTACCGACCCGATTCAATATATTGACTACAATAACCTTAATGAAAACAGGCAAAATAATTGATGTTGAGGGTAATCGATGTCATAAGCAATTTAATAGGTGATGGCCAAAAATTTGTACTCCAAAAATGTTATAATAGATGTTAGATAAAATCATACATAGTGTTTATGGAGGGTGGAGACTAAAATTGGTATAGAAAAATTAAAGCTAAACCGAAACTAATTAATTAATTAGATTATTGAACCGAAGCAAAACCATCTAAACCGGGTAGGGTTTAAGGATACTGATACAGTTTGAAACTCCGTCACTTCCATCTAACGCTTCTTCGAGCTCTACCGCCACTTACAATGGCGTCATCATCATCAATCGACGAGCTTCCTTCGTCTGCCGCCGAAACCTTAACCTCCCAGCCTCCTTCATCCACCACTGAATCACTTCCGATGGAAACGTCAGCAATCGAAATCAACGGGCTTCCATTACTCACCAAAACCCTAACACCTCCTGCTCCGGCCGAGCCAATTCCAATGGAGACATCATCAATCGAAGTTCTTCATCCTGCTCCCGTCGAACCAATTCAATCGTCCGATTCAAATCCAACGGATAACATTGAATCCGTTGGGGAGAAACGGAAACGCGCGGATGATGAGAAGACCAATCTCGAATCGTCGGAGATGAAGGCTACTCCTTCGCCGTGGTGGAAGACGAGTCTTTGTTCTTATTTTAGGCGTGAGGCTTCGTGTAGCCATGGAAGTGAGTGTAAGTATGCTCATGGTGAGCAAGAGCTCCGGATGAAACCAGATAAAACTTGGGATCCGACTTCTGAGCGTGGTAAGAAGACGAAGGCGATGAAGATGTCTGAGAAAGAAGAGAAAGAAGATGAAGAGGTTTTGTTCACTGAGCAGATGATGGAATCAATTGATGATGATGGTAGTGTTTTTGATTTGTCGCTTAGTAAATGTTTGGTGCATTTACCAAGGAAATGGCAATCAGATGAACTGAAGACCTTCTTAGGAGAGCAGGTAAAGTCTCAGTTTTTGAATTTTGTATTTGGGAATTTGAATCAAATGTGTTCATGTTAGTGTAGTTAAATAGAACTTTGGTGTTTGATTAGTGTTGAAATTGCTTGTGAATTCAGGGACTGATTGATTGATTCATCGTTGCAGGGAGTTCAATATAAGTCTGCGAAGAAAAGACGAGGAATGATGGTTGGTTTTGTGACATTTGAGAATGCAGAACAATTGCAGAGCGGCGTGGAGGTTGTTTTTTTTGGTTTGTTTGTTGAGCTTATTTATTCCGAGATATATCGGAGGATGTTGTTTTGTTAATCTATTGAAAATTTATTGCAGATTTTGGATGGGAAAACTGTTAATAGCAATAAGTTGAAGATCGCCGATGTTCTTCCCCGCACATTTGACAAGAACGAAACAAAAAAATCGGTTAAATGTGCTCGTGAAGCTGTGACACCCTTGGCAGACATGCCTTACGCGGACCAGCTTGAACAAAAAAAGGCTTCTATTGGGCAAATGCTGAAAAAACTTGTCAGGATCATTCTCAACGTTTAGTTTTGCGTTGGTGTTTATTTGGTTTCAACTTCAATATACTGATTTTTAGTGGAAATATAAATTTCCTGGCAGGCAAGGAGTGCGCGTAAAGCTTGTCCAAATGGGAGGTCACTTCCAGAATGGGTCCTTACGTCTAGAGACAGAGGTAAGAAAACTATCCATTGTTGATTTCTAGTATTACACTTCTTAGCTGTTGGTTGGTGTATCTTCTTTGAAGTTGTAATTGCATTCTGGCAAAGTGAATACCTTTGATAACCATTTTGATTGGGTGGGATTTCTAATTCATACAATAAATCCTTAGGTGGTCTTGCATGCAACTTCGAGGGCATTATAGAATCACCAATTTCTAATGGCTACAGGAACAAGTGTGAGTTCTCGGTTGGATTATCTCTTCAGGGAAAGCCAACTGTTGGATTCAGTCTAGGAAGTTTTTGGTATATATACTTTTCTTCCCTCAAACTTGCGTTTTTCATATTGTCACGGGAAAAAGCTAATGCAAGATCTTTTTCAGCGCGGGTGTGACAGCAGTTGAGGAGCCTGTGAATTGCCCCAACGTCTCTCAAATTGCTCTTCAATATGCTTCAATCTTTCAGAAGTTTATAGAAAAATCAAAGCTCCAAGTTTGGAATAGGTTTGAACATAGTGGGTTCTGGCGACAGTTCTCGGTATGTGTATTGCACAACACGCTGTTATGGTATAGCTCAATCATGACTTTACCTAATTAATTTTTTCTTTCACCTTGCTCAAAATAAATATATTAGGTTCGAGAAGGGAGAAAACCTGGCGTGTTTTCAAATGACGAAGATGCGGTTACAAGAATTGCGGAGGTTATGCTTATTGTTCAGGTTTGTGTCTAGAATGGTCGTCGATGTTTTTCACCCATCCTACTATTATTTGTTTCTTTAGTCTCTCTATCTCGTGTGAAACTATTCAGGTTTGTTTAACTGGTTCTGATGAGGCAGAAGTGGCCACGGAGTATGAAGAAATGGCAAAAGCATTTGCTGAAGGAGCTAGAGCAAGCTCTCCAACTCTTCCTCTGACTGTATTAGTTGTTCAGGTGATTAATTTTCCTCACTTTTTATTTAATCATATTTAAAGGAAATGTATAATACAGTTTCCTAGCTCCAAGTCCCATTTTGTTATTCACTGCCTATATCGCTTCTTTCTCAGAACCATACAGGAATATCAAATGTTGCACCACCCGACGCCCCACTGCAAGTGCTGCCTATTCCAATGTCAGATAATGGGAAAAATCAGGAGCAGGCTACCAATGTCTTGACCGAAGCTCGGATTCATGATCATATTAACAACCTTCGGTTCAGCATTTCCCCGACAGCATTTTTTCAGGTAATAACTTAATCTTCACTAACAGTACATTTCAAAATCCCTTTGAATAATGTTTAATTGATTTGAAAACTAAATATCCAGGTTAATACTGTCACAGCAGAAAAGTTATACTCAGTTGCTGGAGACTGGGCTGGCCTTGGTCCGGACACTTTACTCTTCGATGTATGTTGTGGAACTGGAACAATCGGGCTTACACTGGCACATCGTGTTGGCATGGTAATACTCTGCTATTGAACTTGCAAAACCGATTAGTACCAATCCTTACCGTGTCTGTTGATTTGGTTAAAGCAATTATACTTTGTTTAACTACATCTGGTGACCAAAACTATAAAAGTGGGTACAACTGGTGCTGTGTTAAAAGGTTTTGGTGCTAACCGCTTAGGCTCTTACAGGTAATTGGCATAGAAATGAATGCTTCGGCTGTAGTGGATGCCGAAAGGAACGCAACAATCAATGGCATTAGCAACTGCAAGTTCATCTGCTCAAAGGCATGTAGCATTTGACAATAACAAATCTCGTAGTCGGTTCCATTATCTTAATCTTAATTCATGGTAGTTTGTTGGCTTTGTTATACAGGCAGAGACTGTGATGAGCTCTCTACTTAAACAGTACTTAGATGTGACTGAAATGGAAGAAGCTAAGCCTGTAAGTAATGCTAACGACAAAAAAATTCCCTCAACAGAAGAAATGTCAAACTCAGAGCATGTGGCTGATCAAAACCTACCTCCTCCAAACACTCAAGTAGAAGAACTTCAAGACAATGCACAGAAGGATTCCTCGTCCATAGAGCCGGAAAAAGCTATAAAACCACAGTTCAGAAACGTGGTTGCTATAGTCGATCCACCTCGTTCTGGACTTCATCCAGCTGTAATTAAAGCTTTAAGAACCCATCCCCGGCTAAAGAGGCTTGTGTTAGTCCCTTCTCTAAACACTCACTACCACAAACTTGGTTATGTCGACTCTGTTTCCTCTATTTGTTTAACACCAGAATTGCCGATCTTTGCTTTGATGCAGGTACATTTCATGCAACCCCGAAACGCTAGTGGCAAACGCGATAGAGCTTTGCACACCATCTTTTGATGAAGCGGATAGAGGAAACAAAACTTACAGAGGGAACAAGAATATAGGCATTGCCGGTTTGGCTCGTCGTAGAGCCAAGTCAATGCCAACTTCTGAGCCTTTTAGACCTGTCAAAGCCATGGCCGTTGATCTTTTCCCCCATACTGACCACTGTGAAATGGTAATGCTCCTTGAGAGGTAAGAATATGCAATAAACTCATTAAGAATGTGATGTAGCACCAAAAGAACAACCAACAACTATTTTTGTTTTGCATAAACACAATTTAAGGATTATATATGTTTTCCATTTTTCATAAGTGAAAAAAGTTTTTTAAATACAAAAAAGAATGGCTCTTTTAAAGGAACTCTCCTTCAGTAAAGCGAGTGTAACGAGCTCTGGTCATGTTATCTTTTCGTTTCTTGTAAACAAGAGCTCCGATAACCATTGCTCCTACTCCCAGTATTGCTCCAATGGCAATTCCGGCTTTCGTCAATGCACTCATTCCGCTATCTTCACCATTGTTGTCCTCGTATTCATCGCCGTCTTCTTCGCTTGCTTTGATATCATCTGGCATTCCCACATCTGGTGCGGGAGATGGTGCCGGAGATGGAAAATACTCTGTTTCCGGGTCAGAATCATCATCATCGTCGTCATCATCGTCAGCTGGAGCAGGAACTGGTGCTGGTCCAGGTGATGATGGAGATTGTGAGGAATCAGAGGGAGATTCCGCCTGAGGAGGTGGCAATGAAGGTGATGGAGAATCTGCTTGGGTTTCAGGTGCCGGTGATGAAGCTGGTGGCTTTGGGGAATCTGCTTCTGGTGAAAAAGACGGTGGGAGAGACGAATCTCCTTCCGGTGATGGCAAAGGAGAATCCGTTAAAGATTCACGTCCCAGCGAGACAGCAGGGGATGGAGATTCCTCCTGAGCATGCGCAAAGTTGACAATTAGGAGGAGGTACATTGATAGCATAACGATGATGAAACCGAGCTTTTTCGCCATTGCGATTCGATGTGTAGCTTTGATGCAATGTGATCGAATCAATCAATACACCAATAGCGAAATCTATATTCTCGTTACGAAGAACAAGGGACGGAGAGAAGGGATATGGAAGAAGCTGAATCGAATAATCAAATACATTTGTTTGTTAAATTATATAGTTAAACAAATATGTAAATATTATTTTATTGTGTTTGATCCACCCATGTCTAACGCATTACGCAGCGTTCAGATTTCAAACTTGGATGCATGTCTCTTTTTTGTTCTTTTCTATTTATAACACTTTGTATATGTATAATATACAAAATTTTAATAAACTTTTTTTTTTTTTTGTCTCTTGATTGAATCAAGAAGCCGTGATATAACGTATGATGAAAATATTTGGTAAGAAAAACCAGTTTTGGAGTTCTATATACTGTAAATTTAATAGATTGGAGTAGTTATTGTACAAATGGTTTATGTTTCAAGAAATGTTTTTAAGAATTAAATATGTGTTTTAATGTTTTTTCGGACGTAGCAACAAGTTAACACCAACAATAGTTGTCTACTATAATTCCACCAAAAAAAAAAAATAGTTGTCTACTATAACAGCAACAGAACCATAATACTCGACTTCGCTAAGTTAATCTATCAAAATATATGAGATATTCAAGGAATATTTAGGGCAAGTAAGCACATTTATTCTCCATAATTATTTGATTTATTTTTTGATTAATTGTTTGAATCCAATTTTTTCTCTATATGGTTAAACTTCATATTTACATGCAAAAAGTATGCTTATTTAATTAGTTCATATAGAAAGATATAGTTATTTATATCAAATGAAAAATAAGCTGTTGTAAAAATAGGCTTTCTTATTTTCACGTTAATTTCCTTATATATCCCTAACTCAAAACTACTTTTCATTAAATTAAATTACTAATCACTAATTAAATAAGAGATATACGTTCTTTTTTAGTTTGCATGAAAATTTTCAAAATTACATTTGATATAAAATACCACATAACTCTAATTGAAAAATGTGAGTTTATCTAATAGTAAATCTTTGTTGAAAAAAAATCTAATATTAAATCTTTATTATTAAAAAAAAAATCATGTTAGATGTATTTGTTCTTCCCACATAACACCAAAGCTGTTACTAATGGTTCTCTTATTATCATGGTTATGATGATGCATTTACTGTTGCATGCGTGTAGATGCATCATATATGGGTCTAGCCTAGGGTCTACCTCACTTCGAGAATTTTTCTTTGGAGCACTTTTATCACAAGAGGATTTAAGTTTGATGTATATTTGTTTAGTTGTTGTCTAAATAAAACATCAATTTTTGGTATTTTTCTAAGTATTTTTTTTTTTGTAAGACTGCACAATATTTGTATATTTGAATATTTGATGAATAAGTAATGTTTGCAGTTGTTGCAAAAAAAAAAAAATAATAATAATGTTTGCAGAAAAGAACTATAAGAAATATTACATTATTGTTTTTAACTGTTGGGTTAAAGCCCATAGTCGGCCCATTTGTATACGTGTCTGTCTCGTCTCGTTGCATCATCATCTTCCTCAGTTTCATTTTTTTTTTCTCGAGAAAACAAAAGAAACCCTTTCCCAATCCCAGCAAAATCAAACGAGAGTTTCACCATGATCAGCATTCTCGCTCAGGTTTCCCTCTTCATCCTTATCCTCCAGATTCCTTATTTTTTTTCTTTTGTTTCTAAAAATCGATTTGTTCAATCCATTGTTTAACGATTCTTCTACAGGAACGTCTTCTTGGTTTCACTCTTGGTAGCGCCTTGACTGGGCTCGTCGTTTTCGAGCAGCGAAAGCTCATTCATCAATCTGTTTCTGATCCTAAATCTCAATCCGTTGATCAATCTCAGGTTATCGCGTCCTTCTCTCCCTTTTCATCCCTAAAATATCATTAAATTTCCCTTAGTCTCTATGAAATCGAATCCAATTTAACCTTGAAGTGATGAGAATCTAGCTTAAGGCTTGATCTAGTACATTGACACATTAAGATTTGGATTTTGCCTTTTGAGTATTAGACTAGTTGGGTTTGTGATGGTTCTTAGATGAACTCATGGTTACGGTTTAGATAGTATTGGTGGTGCCAGTAGCTTTGAGTTGAACTTTGGGATATACTTTGTTTCCAGGTGAGAGATCGTATATTAGGGAAGAAGTATCGTGTGGAATTTGCATCTCTGTGGAACAAAGCTGTGGATCAGACTTTTGAACCTGCCATTGAATATCTTAGTTCGCGTAAATGGTAGAGATGGATAAGTTCTTTTGTTGGAAATGTGAAACTTCGAGAATACTCACGAATTCGATTGTTGTCCTGTTTTCAGTACTATGAGTTTGAGATGTAGACACACTCGGTTGTTATGGCCTTATCTGAATACATCACTATTCTTGTTTTGTCTACCTTCTTGAGAAGAGAATTGTTGTGTGTTTACTGAAAATGTTGACAAAAGGTTATGTTGTTTGGCTTAATGATTGAGATGCTGTGATGTATAACTTTTTATACTATGCTAGATTTGATTTCTTATCAGGTGATCAGTATTTGATTATACGGTAAACATTCGAATACTCTTGCTACTACCCATTGTAGAGGGAAATTTATATGTGTGCTTTATCATGTATCAAGCTTAAACACCAGTCTATATGGAATTGGAATAGTACATATCAGCATGGCAAACAGAAGTGTTGCGATGATTCCTTTGCAGTTGCAGCCACCGGGAGGGGGCAAGCAGCGGCATCCAGCGAAATGGTCCGAACTGGCATCCTGGTTTTTTGGTTGTGATTGAAAGAATGCAAATGCATGGAAATTTTAGGTATTTCTACTCTGTTTCAAAGCTTGTTGTTTTCATAGCTTCATGGGAGTAGTAATGCAAGAATTGTAGAGGTTATAGGCTTATTTGTTCAAGTTTGTTTCTCGGTTCATTAGCTTGAATGGTAGTTTATATCCTTTTTCGAGCCTAGTTCTTGTTTTGATTCTCTCTATGCTAAACCATACCATTGTTTTTGTACAACCCGTGCGTTTATAAATTGTTTAATTTATATTGCTACTCCCACTTACGCCAAACCAACAACATCAATGTTTATCGTCTCTCATCTTCGTTGTGCTATTTCTTTAGACAAAAACATGTTTTGTTGCTTTCAAAATTATGGTAAAGATGATTCAAACTCTGGTTTGACAAGAAACATGAGAATTTGTTTACGTTGTAGGGAACAAACTCAAACAAACCTAACCCAATTGAACTAGACTAAAACCAAACTTAACTAGACTAACAAACATGAAAACCAAAGCGACAATAACTTCGGTTTGTGTTTGGTCAAAGATTTATTAAAACCAAACAAATAACCAAAGTGGCCTTCCCTAAGAATTGGGTTGAGGCATTCTACTGTCGGATGAGCCATGGAGGGCAACAGGAGGTGCGTGTCGGTCTTCTGGGAGGTGTATGGCGTCCGCTGAATTGCGTGGGACAAGTTCGAGATTCTCGCAGTTGCAAATCTCCACCATGAAGCCGTCAGGGTCGTTGAAGAAGAGCTGATCAATGGCCGCATCTTTCTGGTCACCCACCGTCCTCTTGATGTACTTCACCTTCACTTCCTTGAGCCTCTTTTCCAAAGCTTCCATGTCTTCGCATTGGAAAGAGATGTGGTTATCCATCGGATCCAAATGGTCAGTATTAGAAGGTAACTTGTCTTCGTCCTTAGCTTGCACCAAGTGAATCCCTACACCGTAGTTGAAAAGCCACGCACCGTTGAAGTCAAACGAAGCTGGCCGCTCTATCTCCACGAACCCTAGCACCTTCGTGTAGAACTCCAAAGACTTTTTAACGTCTTTGCAAAGCCTTGAGACATGGTTCAACGCCATTAGAGGCGGCTTCGAGTTCGATTCACCATCGCCTTTCTTCTTCTTCTCCATCAAGATTCCGACGAGAGACACAGCTTTTACTTCGCCAAGAAGAAACAGAGAGTAGTAACCTTAAAAATGGGAGCGGCGGAGACTAATCGAAGGACACGTGACGGACGGCTGAATAGGGAGCTTGCATGTGTGAACACACATCGGTCACGTGTCACTCTTAACACTGTAACACACCTTTGCTTCATTTTTCTATTGGGCATGTGTTAGGTCCAAACCGTGAAGCTTAGGGACGACGTCGAGCGGCAAACACTTACCCACTTTATTAGACTATTACAATTTACAACTTACAAGTGTGTGGCAAGAGAGCGGTGAAGTATGTGAAGAAGATACGAGTTTTTGAAACTTTGTTTTTTTATTAATACTAATCATCATCATTATAGCAAAAACATAGAGAATCTTGAGAATAATAAACACTGCTTTGAGAAATCATTAGTGATTATGATGATTACTTATTTGGCGAAATGTATGAGCTAATTACATATCGTATGTACACATCCATATATCATTCTAACTTCTATAATATACCTACACAAGTACACAAAAATATATTTCTAAGTCAAATTGCACGTTTACACAACTACATTACCAATTTGCATAATGTTTGTGTAGACAACAAGATATATGTTGAAGCGATGATGTTGTCTTCAATAATGTTATCCCCACAAATGGATTTCAAAGGTGTCAAATGCATTATAATTTTTTTGTATGCTGTTTTTCGAATACTGTATATCCTCAAAAATTGTGATCTTCAAAATGTTTGCTTTTATTCTGTTGAAAAATCATATTTTACAGATTTTTTATACATTTTTTTAAACTTACTAAATATTATTAATATAACTAATTAAATTTGAAAAATTAACAAATCTAATATATATATTATATACGGTACGTATCCAGATGACTAGAATAGATTAGAGTTGACAAAAAAAATTTTAGTTTGTTTAGTTTTCTATTAATGAGATTAATATAGGTTTTTTACTTTTTTCATATGGCTCAGTTATAGAATTTTTATAGTATTATATTAGAGTTTTGATATGGTTATGCAGTAAACATGGTTAGGGCATCTTTAACGCTGCATTTCGTCGGCCCTTAGAAGAATAAACAAAACCCAGATAATTGTAACAGTGGATTTTGAAGGTCCATTCGGTGTTTGTCCAAGATGTTTTTGTGTGGGAGTCTTAAGCCACGTGTTATTTTCTGATAGGGTGTTATTTTTATTTTTCGAAAAGATTTTTGTTTTTGGCCAGTGAAAGAAAAGCAAAATCCCCAAATGTTTCTCTCGAACCCTAGCTGTGCGATTCGACGAGAGAACAAGCTTTTCGTCTTCTCCGGCTCATCCACTGTCTTTTCCGTCTCCTCCGAGTCCTCGTCACCGTGTTGTCGATCTCCTCCATCTCCTCCTCACCATCTCGTCCGTTCTGTCTCTCAATCTTCAGATCGATATAACTCAGGTACATGCAACAAATTGAAAGAGGATTTGGATGTCTTGTTGGTTTGATATTTGTTCTGGTATTTAGTTCAATGGTTTCATTTAGATATTTTTAAACTGTATAGATGAGAAAGCTTCTACAAAATCAGCTCCCAGGTTCCAAGAAGGCTTGTTAAAAAAAGGTGTTTAAGTGCCAGAGCGGAAGTTAAAAGGCCTAGTATATGTGAATGAGCAATTTGATGGATGGAAAGCTCACTGCCTCATGATCCTGCAAAGGAAATTTAACCAACAAACCTGTTGTTTTGCCCCTGATGAAGAGATACTAGCAGAAATAACAGAAATATTGCTGAAGGAGGGAATAGTAACAAGCAAGACAGATGCTAAGAAGCTCTGCATGCCTTTCGTTAAATTCAAGAAGGATGAGACAATATCTATTGGCACTTAGGCTTTAAATTTGAGGTTGCCGTTTGGAGAGATTGATGTCCTTCAGAGTAACATGGACTTGATCAATTGATCAAGCGGCAACTTGGTCTTGAAGAGGTTGAAGTATATTCTGCAGGTGACCCTGATAATGTTTCAAAAGCTGGTCCACATGCTTCAGTGCTGGAGCAGATTCGTCCTCCATCTCCGGGCAATCCTACCGCCATCTTTGTGACCAGGTAAAAACTAGTTATTTCATTACAATTGTTTCCTAGTAAAAGCACTAAGCAGCATGGATATTCCTCTTGTTTCTCGTCAGCTAACTGAAATCTTTACTGCTTCAGCACAAGTGTCTCCCCTCCAGTTTAAAAGTGTTGTGCCCATAGAATCATCTCTCTCTGCATATCTTCATGTAAGTAAGATCTCTTTCTATTTGACATTCATCTCTATTGTTTTCTATATGCAGTTTCTGGGTCTTTTTTTGTTGGATGTTATAGCTAATCTGGGTACTCAATGTGAGCTCATTGTGAACAAGGTAATCTATTTTACTTCTCTGTTTCTTGTTTAGTGATTCTCTGTATGACAACACAAATGATACATTGAATTAGTTGTATAACCATAGTAACTTTTATAGTAACAAAATAATGTATATGATCTTCTCTCTGTGTTTAAACAAGATGTCGAACTAGAATATGTGAAACCGTTAAGTAATACGATATGGATGTTGTGTCGTATGAAGAGGAGAACGAGCAGAGCTTGTAAACAACATAAGAAATATCTGCTCTTGTTTTAGTTTTGTAACCCTATTCGTTTTTCTACCTTCAGCATCTTCACTATGTTTAAGATTATGCTGTTGATTTTTGCATGTTTAGATGTAGATCATGTCAGTGACTATGGCTGTTCTCTCTCCCTGCCACTAGCTGCATCCAAAAGTGCTTGGTTCTGTGTGCAGCGACTATGGATGTTGTTGTTCTTGCCGTGATTTTGTTGGCCATGGCTGGCCACTCAAGTAAAAATATCTTTTCTGTGTCAAACCCTGCAATGTTTTAATAAAATAACCATTCTCTGTCTCATATAGATCCTCTTCTTTTCTTTTGATGGGAAAAGAGATTCTTCTTTTTTTTTTGTCATTTTGTTTCACAAAAATTCCTCCTTTCTCCCACTCTCTTTTAGAACAGAAAAGTCACAAATGGTTATGAATGTCTTATATGGGGTTTTATGTGTTTAGGTGGAACATGGTGTGAATGCAGAGAAGGGTTGAGCGAGGCAATGCTGCAGAAGACATTGGACTACGCATGTGGTGCAGGAGCTGATTGTGTACCCATTCACCAGAACGGACCTTGCTTCAATCCTAACACAGTTAGGTGTCCTTCTGTTTCATCTCAACACTCTTAGCTCTCTATATATACACAAACAAAAGCTTAAATCAAACCAGCATGTAAAGAAGCTCAACAAACTTCCTCCATGTGATTGGATGATAGTAGTAGACAGTTTTGCAACTTAAGCAGTGATATGTTTCTTATTTGTGATGGACTTCAAACTATAGCTTCTCTTCAATATAAAACATACTTTTGAAGTATCTCATTTTAATTTATATGTTTCAATTATTTATTTAATTAATTAAAAAAATATTAATATGTTTTATATTATTTTATTATTATAAATTTAACATCCTACAAGTTCAACCCATAATTACCTATATATTTGTGGGTTCTTAATATACACTATTACATTATTAATATACTAAAAAAACACTAAGCTACATCTTCAAGCTTATGCCATTAAAGATGCTCTTATGGCTAGGATGATAGGGACTTAAGTTTAATAAAAATGAGGGCCTTTTCAATATAATATTTATAGAAAAAAAAAGTACATTCAAAATATTGAAAAATGGTAGTTAAAAAAGTTGAAGACAAAATTATTTTCCCCTTTCATTTTTCTCAAACTTTTGAACTCGAGGTTTCTAACATAAACTCTTTCAATAGATGTAATCAAGCGGTTTCAAAATCTATAACATAAACTCTAGAATTACACACTTTAAACAATAAAAATAAATACTCTGCTATTAACCACTGCAGATGGAAATTTAGATACAAGCTTTCTAGTTAAAGGGAAGCAAAAAAGCACACATTACAACTCAAAGTCTAGCTATATATTCCCTATCATGGTTTCACATCATCACGGCGAACGCGAGTCCAAAGATGATCCCTACCATACCACTAGCTCCCATTCTGCTTCTAGAACCAACCGACATTGAAGCTATCTCGCTTTCTTGTGCTTTAGCAGAAGCTCCTTGGACCTTTGCAGCTGCCACGGGAAGAGGCGAGCAGCCGGATTCCGCGCAAGGGTCAAAAGTGGCATCATCAGGGTTTTCTGGTTGAGCGTGAAAGAAGTCAAATGCTGAAGGTGAAAATGCCACTGGAGTCTCGTAAGCCAAACCGTGAGGAGCTCGGTCTTGTGCTAAGACGAAGTTTGTGATGATTAGAGAAGATAAGAGGAAGAAGAGGCAAGCTTTTGATGAAGTCATTTCTCTCACTCTCAGCTTACTTTGGTTTCTTAAAAATGTGGAAGACTACAAGTTTTGATGTGTTTTGGTTGAGACTTTGAGGACAAGGTTGGTAACTAATTTATAAGGTGATGTGAAATAAAGTGGTTGTTGCTTGGGATTATTAAAAAAATTGGGTGGTGAAAAAGATAAGACATTTACAGAAGGGAACAATATGATTTCTCATGATTTCTCTACCTTTTCCCATCATATTATTTCCTTTTTATGTTTCTATGGTCCTTGGAATCTTTTGGTTTACTAAAAACCCAAAATTGTCTTCAGATTTTGCTAAACCAATTTTGGTTTCGACCTTGAGATGAAAGAATCAGTACATTTTGGACCAAAAAAAAAAATCAAACCAAATTTATCAATTCGAACTCGAAATTACGAAAAAAAATATTTGGAACCAAACCGAATCAATAATATTCAGTAAATATTGTAATCAAATACATATAATATTAATTAATTTTTTATATCCAAAAACGAACCGAACTTGAACCCAAAACAAACCAAACTAGAACATAAACCAATCCAAACCAAGTCGAATCAGACAAAAATAATTTTGGTCTAATTTGTTACCCTTATCCAGATCTTTAGAAAACCATAAATCCGAAATACCAAATCCCCAAAGCTACTAAAAACCCACAAAGACTGGTATTTGTGAAGGTCTTAGGCTGAGTTTATACTTAGCCTAAACTACTACATTAACTTTTAAAAATATGAGTAGAACTGCTCCAATAAAGATACTTAAGCACATAAACCTTTAGTTGTTAGCATCCTCGACTTTTTTTAACTTGCATGATTAGTAAGTAGTAGAATGAGAAGTAGGAACCATCATTGAACTTTTGGCATCCTATAATTAAATTCAAGTTCGTCTTCCCTTAAAGGATCAGCAACAAAATACTACTATACATATTTAAAAGTATTTATAAAACATAGTTTATGTGAGTGAGTGTAATAATAACACACCTGCATTGGAACACACAACATCGATGACGATCTCTAATCTATAATGGCACAAGGAGGGGTCAAGCATGCATCTCTTCCCTTCACGCCTTCCTAATTTTTGATTGTGAGTTTTACTCACGAGATTGAATCTTGTTTCTTACGTTTTGTTTTGTTAATTTTTCATTAGGTATGTTAAGAGTATTTGGTTAGGTTATGCGTATCTTTTATATGAAATATTCACCTATAAAGGTTAATTTTTGTAGTGATTGTGATTTTATTACTATGCACTGATTATATATTATGTTTTTTTTTTTATATTAGTCTCAAAGACTTATATTTGGCAAAAATATTCGACACTATGAGAATAAGTTGCATTAGTCATATAGTAATTTGTAACAAAAGATACAAGTTGGGTTCAGTACTATTCATGAATTAGCTTTCAAGTAGTTTCATATGTTTTTCTCTAAAAAAAAGGATATTTAAAATTTATTTGATTGTGATTGTGAGTTTTTGATTGTGAGTTTTACTCACGAGATTGAATCTTGTTTCTTACGTTTTTTATTTCTCTTATATTTCATTAGGTAACGTTTAAGTTCTAGTTATGCGTTTTTATATGAAATAATCACCTATAATTGTGTCAAAATTTTCATTTGTGCCCTCCTGATTGTGATTTTATTAATATGCATTGATGATTATTACATATTATGTTTTTCTTTTTAATATTAATCTCAAACACTTACATTTGTCAAAAATATTCGACATTATCAGAAGAAGTTGTACATTAATCATTTAGTAATTTGTAACAAAATATACAATTTGGGTTCCGTGTTCATGAATTATAGCTTTTACGTAGTTTCATATTTTGTTCTCTTAAAAAAAGATTTATAAATGAATTTATTTTATTTTCATTCATTAAATACCATAGTTTTGATCAATTGTTTCATGCAGTTTCATGTGTGAAAAGAGAGTTTTTGACGGTTGGTAAGGATTTTAATTGGTTTTCACATGTACTATAACGTGACACTCCTCAGCTTTTACTTCACATGAATTTTCTCTTATGAGGGATCCAAATTCCATAGATCACGTGATTTTTGTGGATTACTTATATGCTCATTCAAATCAATACAAATTGCAGAACATTCACTAAATAATCTTTAGTTCGATAGAAATAAGATACCTTAAAAGTTTGAAGGATAGCATAAGATGTTAATAAGTGTAGTAATTATAATACTATCATGTATAAAAAAAAATTCTTGAACTCTTAACAATTGAGACGAATGTTGAACATTTCTTTCCTATAATGTTGGATTTATGAATTATGATTTAATCTATGACTACATCATATATTAAAATCTCACAAACCATCAACAGTGAATCGAACTAAGATTATTATTCTTATAAAATCATGTGATCTTTACTTCATCATTTCATGAAATCTAAACATCAAATATGGCAATATAATTTCAAATCTCTTGATAGTAGTTGTTTTGAAGCAATATCACAACATTATGCAACATGAAAAAAAAAAAAAAAATTATTTCCTTTCAAAACCTTGAAAATATGTGTTATATTCAAATGAAATTACGTATGATATGATAAAAAGAATAAACTATTGAATAAGAAAACATCAAAAAAATTGCAGCTAGTAATGTATTAATTTTTGAATCTTTATGTATTAATTTTTGAATCTTTAATCAAATCTAATGTGTATTACTTGTTTTGTTGATTTATAATTTTAATGATGTCTCAACTTCTTATAACACACAAAAAAAAGTTGATTTATCAACATATGAGAGACATGTTTTGTTCAAATTAAAAATAATATTTATGGTGAAGGAGAATAGCGCAAGCGAGTTTAAAGCTTGTGTCTATCATAAACAAAACTTTAGGGTCAAACTAGATCCTTTAATTCAGAGACACATATAGCTTAATATATATAGTTACTTTTTGTTAAGGTTAAACGAAAACAAAACACAAAAAACTTCATTTTGTTCTTTTTTACAAAGTTTAAAAACTATTCATGATGAAGAAACCTTTTCAACTCTCATTCACTGTTATGATTATCTTCACCATTCTTGTGTTAGGTTTGTATCTACATTTATTTTCATCTTAATATATATAACATAAAATATTTATAGAAGAAAATAGCTGTAGTCAAATATATATTCAATCAAGAATTTCATAATATCAAATAGAGATTTTTTTCATACATAGCTAAATAATGGAGATTATTTATTTGTACTAGATCTAGAATACCAACCCCAAGCATATATTTTGGTTAGTTCCTATTTTTTAATGTGTGTGATTATATGAAGATTATTTTAATATACATTGATTTAACAAATTTTCCTTTGACTCATCATCATTTCTCCTCCTTTGGTGCCACATAGATAATATTTCAATCTATAGTTTATTATTTAATAGTAATATCATATTCTGGTGTGTAAATTTGCATAATGCTTTCACATTATTTTTTTAATGTTTTCACATTATTTCGTATGATTAAGTTACAATCTTATATTATTTTCAAGAATAACTATTCGTATCTAACAACTCAAAGTGTATCTATGCATAACAAGTAATTTTAGATACACAAATTAAGATTTTTGCGTTTTAAACATAATATTGTAACAGGAGTGGTGGCAAATGAGGAGCTAGGAAAACAAAAGAAACAATGTAGTGAGATTTTGACAAAATCCAATTGTGTTAAAGAAAAGTGTGAGTCTATGTGCGTGAAGAAGAGGAAAGTAGGAGCCTGTCTTTGCACCCCTTCTAAGAATTGTTTATGCTACTATTTTTGTTGATTTTAATTTACATTATTAAGATTTTTTAATAATAAAGTAGTAAAAATAATAAATCAGGGGTTAATAACCTAATGATTGGCATAATTGTAACTATCTAATGATATTAAGATTCAAACGTAGTAATATATACATCTAATGACATCATTGAAGCTACCTTTTCTTGGGGAAAAAAGAAGACTCTAATTTTATTACATCTTCAAAGTCTAAGTAAATGTGTTTATTATCGTCAATAACTCCCATGAAAATAAAATAAATAATATAATGTACTGATTACTTGAAAAAGAGAGAAATACATCGAAAATGAAAATTACAAAAAAAAAATTATAATTTATTCATCAAATTAATAAATTCAATGTAAATTGTTATTAAAAAAAAAAGAAAAGAATGTTAAGTAAACGGGCCAAAACGGGCCAAACGGGCCAAACGGGCCAAACGGGCTAGTACTCAAACGAGCTGGGCCTAATGGGTCTTCAGAAACATTTGCTTTAAAAACAAGCTCTATCGTTTCTCAAGTAGAGCTACACACACCTTGCCGTTATTTTCAGGTATTAATGTTGCTTTCCTCCGACGAACCAATTTCGTCGTTTAGCAACAAATGTTATCGAAGGATGCGTAATTCGAAGAACCTGACAACGACGTCGTTTCTAAACCAATAAGGTTGGAGCAGTCACGTGCCACCACCACGCCACACAAGTCGTACACGGAAAGCTCATCTCTCCACGTGGATCACGTTGGTGAAGCCGCCACGTGGCTATTTGGGACCAATTATGAGAATGATCGTATATTGTCTTCTAGCTATCCTTTGAGATTAAGACAGACGTTATTTAGAGATTGAAACTTTTGTTTTGTCAGGTTTTGGGATAAGCTGAAGACAGAACAACACACACACGACACACCTCTCTTCATCTCATCGACATCGTACGATGACATTGGCCTCTCTTCCTATCTCATTCACTTGGAGGGATTTTACAGTTTCGACCTTTCTTGGATTGTTCGGATAGTGACTTGTGTTCGTGAGTGGAGATTACGTGGTCATTGTGTTATGTCAACACGTGTAAACAAATTTATTTTGTTACTTAACGTCGATGTTGAATCAAATTATATACACTCTCTCGAGTTTTTTAATTAGTTTAAAGTTTTGGGATCTAATTTAAGAACTTTACTTAGTTGTATTGTTTTAATATTAAAAATTTATCTACTATATTTAAATGTCGAAAATTTTCAATTTAATATCTATAGATCACATAAAAATTGACCACTAAATAAACAAATATAAAACATACAAAAGAGAAAGAAAAAAAAAAGTTAATAAGATTGTATATTTAGAATTGAAATAGTGATTCAATTAATTAGAATAAAAGTATTTATTTAAACCACAATTATTATTTGGTAAAATCTAACTGATATTGTTTACTATACTTTAACTGGTGTGGGCATAAGGAATCAATATAATGCAGTATATGGTTTGAAGGAGATGATTTAAAACTCGTTAAGTTGATTAACACTAATGAAGATCATCATAAACTAGCTAGGTACTCTTTTGTACGATATCTAATATTAGATTATGAAAGTGAAACTACTACATCTTTCAATGGAACATGCTACATTGAGAAGAAGAAAATTTCTGAACTTTGTTCGGATTCGGTGTTTCTTTTTGGATCTCTGTTTATAGTGTTTCACTTGTTTTTCTCCCGAATTTCTATTTGTGTTGTGTTGTATATTTAGTGGTTTCTGTAGTTTTCGGTTTTTCCATTTTCGTGTTTTCTTTGTAATTCTGTCAGAACTTTCAAAACTAGTATAAATCTTCACATTGTTACCAAAAAAAAAAAAAACATGTACATTGAGAAGAATGAAAAAACATGTTTGTTTAGAGTTACATTTTCGCCTTATTGATTCTTTATAGCAGACTTACATTTTATGCTATCGAGATGTTTGGTTAATTATTATTACATTTTTAGTTGTTTACTGGGTTATTTATTTTAGAAAAGGAAAAAGTTTGTAACGATCATTATTTTCGTTTTTTCTTCATTGTAATGAAGTTGCTCATGTTTTAGCTACCAGTATCCCTTGTAATAACATTTCAAATTAATATAATTCTTTTTTCGACAAAAGAAAACTATAATTCTGTTTCGAAAAAAGAACAAAAAAAAGTATCACTATTTTAAAGTAAGGAAGAAGATACTATTACATTGACTTTAAAATCCATGGAAATATAAAACTTGTGACTTTGGACGTCTGAAAAGTGAAACCCCAATGTATCGACGAAATCAAACTATTTCATTCAGTCGCATATGATCCATTACAAGAGTTACATGTTTCCAATTTATAATCCTACGAAAACTCGAAGAAACGTTTAATAAACTCTGTACTTCTAAGTTCTACTAATTAACACATGATTCAAATATTCACAGTATTATTATTATTCCAAAAAGAAAAAAATTGAATAACCCTAATCTGTTTTCTTTATAATCATTTTATGGGTTTCGTGTATGACTTTGAAAAATTGAATAACCCTAATCTGTTGACAGTCATCATTTCCTTTGGATAAAAACACACCGCAAAAAAGAAAAAAGAAAAAATTTTAAACTTCCACGAAATTTCCAAGGGCATATAAGTAATTTCACAGAAAAATGTGAGTCCATCAAGAAAAATTTACAACACGAAGGAGAGGTGTTGAAAACTCTTATCCATTGACCTTTAAACCTTTACACCAAGCTAACTCCTCTTTATATATAAATACAAAGCAACCAAAGCCAAAAGAGAACGAATCTTTAAAAACCTTTTTTTTATAACTAAACCCAAAAAAAAAGAGTTTTAGTTTCATTTCTTCTTCTTTCTTGTTCTTCTTGAAAATGGCGACGAGCAAGTGCTACTACCAACGACCAAGCCACCGTTTCTTCACCAACGACCAACACGTCATCACCACCACCGCACCGTCCGATTTCGAGCTAGACGAATGGGATCTTTACAACACCACCACCGGTTCTGATTCCTCTCCTAGTTTCACCTTTAGTGATCTCACTATCACTTCCGGTCGAACCAAAACTAACCGGAAAGCTGCTGCGTCTTCTTTACCGGTCAACGTACCGGACTGGTCAAAGATTCTTGGTGAAGAGAGTAAAAGACAGAGCCATGAGGAAGAAGAAGAAGAAGAAGAAGAAGAAGAGGGATGTGCACGGCGTGTTCCGCCGCATGAGTTGATAGCTAACCGGAGAATGGCTTCGTTCTCGGTTCATGAAGGTGCTGGTAGGACTTTGAAAGGAAGAGATCTGAGTAGGGTTCGTAATACTATTTTTAAAATTAGAGGGATCGAAGATTAATTTTATCTTTTTAGTGAAAATTGGGGGGGGGGGGGGGTTACTACATATAAAAAAATATGAGGGACTAAATTCGGAATTTGTAAGAGTTGTTATTTCTTGATTCACATTTTGTTTTCTTTATTTACTTTAAGATTGTATTGAAATTTTGAGACACCAAATATGAAATTTGACTTGGTATTTCTTTGTTGTTTTTTTTTTTTTTTACTCTTATTCGTCAACTTATTTTTATAGTTGTAAAAATTAGATTCTTCTATCTCCCCTTGGTTTATAATTTAGTTGTTTATGTAAGAACAATATATAATCGTCAACGAGAGGTAATTTACAATGACTATGATTGTTATTTGCTAACAAAAGGATTAATATACTAATTATTAGTTAATCATGTGGCTATGAATTTGGGATTATTTGACAGATGGAGACATGGTGCGTTGTCTTTAATCATACAAGTGTTTGGTCGGCATATGTTTCGATCCTCTCTCTCTCTCTTTTAATTCTTATCAGCTAATCCAATTATTCGTAATTGTGTATATAGTGTAACAAACAAATCTGGTTGGTTCATTCTTATTATATGATTTTAAGATGTTTAGTTATATAATAATTTTACTAGTAAATGAAGTAGACCATGAGGATAATAATATTGGATAAATGTCTTGGATCGAGTACGCACAACATAATGTTAGGCGTTTTATGTGGATAGATCACTTGTTTGGATAAGATCTAGATAAATTAACTAATTTAGTTACACATATTAAAAACTTTTAACGTTGCATTGACGTAACAATTACTCTATTAGGTCGATGTTCTTATTAATTATATATCAAAAACCTAGATCTCGTACCTAAAATAACAAATTTTCAATAATTATATATATATACATATATATATATATATATATGTATATGTTTTGTATCAGATTTGAGAAGTTGGAAAAAAATAAAATAAAAAATTCGATCGAACACAAATATTATGTTTTATACATTTCAAGATATATCAGGTGTAATCTAAAAATTGTGTTTTCGGTAGTTTCTATTATTTATAATATCTACAAAAAAGGAATATATTTAAACAATACAAAATCGATGTTATACGTTTTAACTTGTAACACTTGTTCTATTAAAGTTTTGAATTATTGTGTAAGGTACCAACATATATTTAACAATACATGACACTTGGCAGAGTACTATACAAGTAAAATTAATATACAATTAAATCCAATGTCAAAAACGTTATCGATGCTCTAGCTAGTTTCAAGCCATATATAAGGAGAAATTTAAAATTATATTAATTTGTGACACAAGCTAGTAAAAAAAACCAATGAAATAATTTTATATAATCATTTCAAACTTTTTAAGTATATATTAAAAATATTAAATGAATCATTTACTAATTTTGGAATACAAACTGTGTCCATGTAGAATTTCAATTAATTAGTATTCGCATTTTATGTTTATTCTTAGCCATTTTCGAGAGATCATCACCACGGATCAGAAAAATAAACAAAAGCTATACACCACGAGAGATGCCGAAATCATTTGGAATACTGATGTGATGTCTTCCAAAGATTGGTTTCTAGGCTGTAACGAGATAACGTTTTGAAAAGTGTAAAGAGAGTGACAAACTGACAACCACATCCATGAGATGATATTGCTAAGATTTAAGTGTTAGGTTATGTCTTAAGAGTATAAAGTTTAGTGGTTTTCCTGGTCTCGGATTTGTATCATCTTCTTTATGAAAAACTTAAATAATATTTATAAACTTGTACTCACTTGATTAGTTGTTTACTTGCTATTCGCATAAACTTCATATATAAATACTAATCTATTATTTTACTAGTTTTTCTAGAAAAGCAAGTGTGTTAAGTAACTAGGTATAAATACTAATCTCTTAGGTTACATGTACCATCTCGACAAAGATAGACGAATACGATGTATACTATAGTAATACAGCTCATATCTTGATTAGTTCTGATAATGACAAATAGATGTAAAAGGCAAACCTCAAATTCCTACAAATTAGTATAATATTCCCAAACCATATCTTAATAAGTAAAACAACCTAATTATAAACAAAATTTTCTTCTAAACCAACAACACAAGAAGATGAGTTTTATAATTTTCAACAATGAAGATAAAATTCCAAAGCACGTCTTTTAATCAATATGCATAAACGGTTGAAAATGAATGCGTATGTATAAAAAAATAAAAAAACAAAAGCTCTCGTGGCCATATTTAGTTTGGTAATGGACAATGTCAATTTCTAAACGTAAACAAAGCCAGTGGCAAAAACTGTAAATATTCGGGTAAATGTACCTCTCAAGTGCTGCAACCCCCACAGATGCCGTAATAATAATAATATGATCCTTGAAGAGTTTTTGGAACCTCTCTATTAACAGTCAGGGTTCATCAATGTGGAAGCAGCTTCTCAAGCTAAGATCCACTGCCAAAACATTCCTCTCTTGCAAAGTTGGAAATGGTAAATCTTGTTCCTTTTGGTTTGATAATTGGACTCCATTCGGAAACTTGTTTTCTTACCTAGGCCCTAAGAACACCAAAGGTTAGGTCTCCTGTTAGACTCAACTGTGGCCAAGGCTCGCACTAGTGATGGATGGATCTTTAGAGGTGCCCGCAGCAATGAGACTGAACTCCTCTTAAGACATCTCGCTGAAATAGAAATTAATGAGGATGTTAAGGACACCTACTTATGGGCTAGACCACATGGAGATCCTAGAAACCAGTTCAATTTCGCTGAAACTTGGAAGCTCGTTAAGACACATTCACAAGAGGTGACTTGGCACCACCAGGTCTGGTTTTCAGGGTCTATCCCAAAGCACTCTTTTATTTTGTGGTTAAGTTGCCTAGATAGACTTCCAACTCTATCAAGGCTCAGAAAATGGGGAATCTTAGAAGATGATACTTGCTACCTTTGCGAGATCTACTTTGAGACAAGAGATCATCTCTTTCTAACCTGCCCATATAGCTATGACCTTTGGAGATGGGGTCTTGAAAAACTTCAGATCCCATTCGCAGGCTTCAACAACTGGGATAGGTTCCTCATGTGGCTTAAAGCTACATCAAATGACCCCAAAATGGCGCCATTAAAGCTTCTCTTGGCTCAAGCAGTTATTTACTCTCTTTGGCATGAAAGAAATGCTCGCATCTATACCGGTATTCGCACTCCGGTCGAAGCTCTTTTCCCTATTCTTGATAGGCGAATCCGAAACACTTGCCTAGCGAGGAAAGACATTCCAAAGTTCCAAGGCATGCTTAATCTATGGTTTAGAGGACTCTTTCTCTAATTTTTATATATATTTATTGTATCCTCTTCTTTATAGTTCTTGTACCGGGTTTGTTCATCCCGGAGTTCGTTGTCGTTGTGGCACCTTTTTTTCTATTTTCATGTAATCGTGAAAGTTATATATATTATCAGAAATTTTATTAAAAAAAAAATGATCCTTGAAGAGTATTTGCTCTCAACGTAAGTGATGACCGAACCGAACATATGAAACAAAGTCGAGTCGTTCGACGTTTTATGTGCGTTGGTCTTGTCGTATTTATTCCACTCTTGTCTTTTTCCTCCTTCTAGTTTTTTTTAGCTTTTACCTAATCGACGAAAACGATTATAATAAAATTGGTATATATATATATATATTATTATCGCTACAATCCAAATTAACAAAATGTCAAATTTAAATGTCTTTCTTTCTTCTCACTATTCTTTTCTTTGTCTTTTTCCAATAATAAAAGACTTCATCGGCTGTTATGACAATTTTAAGTACGTCTCTTTCACGTGTTTTGTTTACAATATTTATGCATCCCTCACATTTCCAAAATATTGACTATAGAAAAGAGATATATAAAGGTTTTGGTCAAATGGAAGCAATCAAAACCAATAGAGAAAGTGAAAGTCAATGTTGAGTTTTATTGGCCCAACCATAAAAAGTAAACAAAAAGACTCTCATTTCTTAGAATGTGAAGTTCCTTCATCTGCAAAAGACTTTATTAATAGATCGAACCGTCGAGAGATTAGAAATCGAATGATCGGTCGTAGTTGGAAATTTTTGAGCGTTCGTGTTGCGATCATGAATGATGAGAAAGATCCGCATTATAGTGACAACATTGATTTTACTCACAATATGATCATATTGCTACTTTGCTAGTGTAACAAGTCACATATAACCATATTGCCCAAGAGGTGGTGGACTAGTGGTAGGGGAGCTTGGAGGAAGGGTGCAACTCCCACAACCTGGGTTCAATTCTCCACTTTGCTGTTAACATCATCTTTGTGGGAAGTCTGTCAGTTGAGCTTAGGTTCAATTGGTTTACCTGGTAATCAGAAATGCAGGCGGCCTGATTAGCCCCGAGCATTAGTCGGAAAGCGTTAATCTGGATTCAGGCGATGTGGTAGCCCAACACCTAGGTATTGGCGACGAGTCCACATTGTAGCACTTCGGTGTGATCCTCCCAGAGCTGACCTGATCAGCCGATCGGGTTTATCAAAAAAAAAAAAAAAAAAAAAAAAAAATATAACCATATTGTTTTGTTCTCCTAGTGTTTTGTTCTCCTAGTGTATAACTTATGGAAACATAAAACGTATTTGACGTTATTTCAAAATAGGCCCAAGGCCCATAATAAGTAAATGAGATCCGAACCTCTCTCTCTCTAATCGCGAAAAAGCCCAACGAGACGCGTCATGAAGCGGGTCGAATATATCCAATTGAAACCAGGATCGGTGGATCCGTTGGAGAAATCGTGAATCATCCTCCTCCTCCTCGATGCGAGTGGACAAAGTGAAATTCGCAGAGAAGCAAATGAACAACACGACTTGCCATTAAAGGAGGAGACCATCAAATTCCTCTCCTCTCCGTTGAAAAAATATCTCTATCGATTCGATTTCAGCAATGGCGACTTCAGATTCGAGCTCTTCACCTTCATCATCATCATCAGGCACCGAATTCGCCGATCCAAACCCTAGTACCGATCCAGAGACGAATTCGGAGCGTGTTCAAAGTCAATTAGAGTCAATGAATTTGTCTCAACCTAGCGAAGTATCCGATGGCAGCACTCGCACGGATTACAGCGGCGGCGATGATCAAGACGAGGTTGCATCGGCCAACGGGAACGAAGGCGGAGTTATCAATGGTGGTTTAGTGCATGAAGTTGTGGCGGGAGCTAGCGGAGGAGAGGAGATAGATGCGTCGTTAAGGGCGGAGAATCCCGTGGAAATGGAAGCAGGGGAAGAGCCGCCGAGTCCGACTAGTAGCGGTTATGATGGAGAGAGAGGGAGTAGCGGCGGAGCTACCTCTACTTATAAAGCTGATGATGCTAGTGAGGATGAGATTCGGGAAGCTAATGTGGATGGTGACACTGCCTCGCAGCATGAAGCGGCTTGGTTGCCTGGAAAACGCCATGTTGATGAGGTCAGTTTTATATATAGCTCCTTAAACTCTAGTTCTAGGTTACAAGATCAGTTCAAGAATTTGCGCCCAGAGTCATAGTTGTCGACAGTATTCAGTTTCCGCCATGGATTGTTGGATTTTGAGTTCTTTAGTGTCACATTCATGATAAATTGTGATCTTGCATACGAGGACTTAGTTGATCAAGAATGCTGTGGAATTTATTCAATGTCAGAACTGTGGAAAATGTTTAGGGAGTTATGCATGCGAAACTGATCAATAGTGATTATCTTCTCATCAGCAGTAGATGGAACTCTGAGAACACACTTTTAATATAAAAAACGCAGGATGATGCTTCTATTTCATGGAGAAAGAGGAAGAAGCATTTTTTCATATTGAGTAACTCTGGCAAACCGATATATTCCAGGTTTAGCCATTTCTTCATATTGAATCACCAGATAGCGAATGGCTGTAGTGTGGATTTTATCGTTTTAACTGATTTATTCTTGTTGCATTTCTTTTTTTAATCATTGTATCTTTTAGATATGGAGATGAACATAAGCTTGCTGGATTCTCAGCTACTCTTCAAGCTATTATTTCTTTTGTGGAGAATGGGTAAAATATGCACTAGCTTTGTCTGCTGAATTTTTCTTTATGGTTATTTTTGTCTTTAATGTTTGATGCCTAACCCATTGTTTATTTTAGTGGTGACCGTGTCAATTTAGTCAAGGCAGGAAAACACCAGGTATTAAAATTTCCCTTAACTCTCAATTACTCAGCTTGGCAGTGGTGCCTATAATAGTTTACCACTAGATACACTGCTTCATTAAATCTCAGCAAGCAAAGTGTTTCATTTGCTTACACTGTCATGGAGATATTAATTAGAGAGATGTCATGTCTGATTATTGATTAAAATCACTGTTGATAAGAGATTACAAACATTTTAAAATGAGATGTCCTGGTGAAACTCAGGTTGTCTTTCTGGTGAAGGGGCCAATATACCTCGTCTGCATAAGCTGTACAGATGAAACGTATGAATATTTAAGGGGGCAGTTGGATCTTCTATATGGTCAGGTAACAATACACTGCTGTGTATCCTTTCTTTTGAAAATTTTCATGTTTGAGTGTGCGATTTAAATAACCAAAATGCAATAATGGTGATGCAGATGATACTAATTTTAACAAAGTCCATAGACAGATGTTTCGAGAAGAATGCAAAGTTTGATATGACACCCTTGCTTGGAGGGACAGAAGCTGTCTTCTCATCTCTTGTCCATTCTTTTAGCTGGTTTGTCTCTAATTCGTAACTCTTTAACAATATAATTGAAGATATTTTTAACATAAAGTAATAAGAGATTATTGGTGGAAGATGAAGATTTCCAACTATTATCAAAGTATATAATACAATATCTACGTATAAAGTACAAGCCTTTAAGATTTATATAGTTTTTAGAGTCTATTTACTATCCTTCCCACAGATGTAGAACTGTTGCTATACACATTACATCTTCTCTCTTTTTGGTCTACCTCTGCGCTTCAGGTAAAAAAGTTATAATAATCTTCGAGATGATTTTCCCATTTTTAGGAACCCAGCTACATTTCTTCATGCCTATACTTGTCTTCCCCTTCCATATGCGTTAAGGCAAGCTACGGGGACCGTACTGCAAGAAATTTGTGCATCTGGTGTCTTGTTCTCACTACTACTGTGCAAACACAAGGTAAACCCCCGTGTTCAAAAAGTCAAAGTCTTGTAGCTAGGAAATCCATCATAGTTGATGACTGTTTGTATGACTTTCAGGTTGTCAGTCTTGCTGGTGCACAGAAAGCGTCTCTCCATCCTGATGACTTGCTTTTACTCTCAAATTTTGTCATGTCATCAGAATCATTCAGGCAAGTGCTAAATATTTTGTTCATGTACCCACAGTGAACTATACACATGTTTTGTGTAGCTTGTTCTCACAGCTTCCTCTCCGCTAACAGGACATCAGAATCTTTCTCACCAATCTGCCTACCTAGATACAACTCTCAGGCCTTTTTGCATGCCTATGTCCACTTCTTTGATGTGAGTCAAATACTTGTAAAACTCATCTACAGTGCACAATGTGAAAGTATTAATGTACTCGGTAATGCAGGATGATACATATGTAATATTGCTTACCACGCGTTCAGATGCCTTCCATCATCTCAAAGATTGCCGGTAAAAATAGCTTTCATACTTGAAGATAGTTGTGTTCTCTTACATGGTAAAATTTGTTAATAAGCATGTTATTGAGTTCCATAAACTTGTATATGGTTAGGATTCGCCTTGAGGCTGTTCTCCTCAAGTCAAATATTCTTAGTGTGGTTCAAAGATCCATCGCAGAAGGTGGAATGCGTGTTGAAGATTTACCAATAGACCGTAGGCGGCGATCATCTACTACTGATCAGGGACAAGATACAGTTGGTCCCGAGGTTTCTGTGGGGACGGGAGGTCCCTTTGGAATTTGGCATTTCATGTACCGTAGTATATACTTAGATCAATACATTTCCTCTGAACTCTCACCCCCCGTAACTAGTCACAGACAACAAAAAAGGTAAAGTCATGAATCAACATTGGGAAACCAAATAGTTAGTTCGTGGAATTGAAAAGTACTGATGTAGTAGTTGTGTTGTTGCAGTCTATTTCGAGCATACCAGAAACTTTACGCTTCAATGCATGACAAAGGATTGGGACCCCACAAGACTCAATATAGAAGAGACGAGAATTACAGTAAGTTCGAATATGCACACATGTTTTACGAAAATATGAAAATCCTTTTTGTTGTGAAAAACTAACAAATCTTTTTTACTACAGCTCTTCTATGTTGGGTCACACCAGATTTTGAGCTCTATGCAGCATTTGATCCACTTGCAGACAAGGTGAGATTCATTAAAAACTTTCCTATGAAGTCAAAGAATAGCGTAAATCAGATCTTTGATATCGATATCGATGAAAATCATATGGCAGGCGATGGCGATAAAGACATGCAATCAGGTTTGCCAAAGGGTAAAAGATGTGGAGAATGAAGTGTTCTTGCAAGGAGCTAGCCCTTTCTCTTGGTGATGACATTTCTACTATTCACTCTTAAATATATATATATAAATGTACGTTTTGATCTTTCTACTATCTTGACCCCTATATCGTGCCTAGGCACCACCCACCTTAATAAGGCAGTAATGTAAAATTGTACCCCAGAAGAAGAAACCCTTGAGAGAAAGCTATTTCAATTGCCTTTATTGTTATTATTAATTAAGCTTGAATAGTCAAAAACTGAGATGATGTAGAGAGCAAATTATTTTAAGGTTTTGATGGAAAGAAAGATGTAGACTAGAGAGTAGTTGGTGTAGTAAAAGAGTTGGTTGTTATGTTTTTTCTGTGGTTTCATTTTTTAAATGCCCCATTTCACTCTGATGCTCTTTTCTTAATTTTCATCTCTTTTTCTTCTAATTAAAATAATAATTATATAATTAAGGGAATTATGAGATAATATTATTATATATTTATTTTTAACACATTGTGATGTTTAAAAAACTCAATTGTATTGTTGTTAATGCAATCCAAAACAGATAGATGTAGTACTAGATTTATATAACATTATAACATTTAATTCAGTGGTTTGGTTCATTTAAAATATACTTGACAAGGTTTATTTTATTTTATTTTATATAATTTGAATGCTTTAAATATGTGATGCTAGTTATTTATTAGGATTGACTTAAAATCTAAAAGGGAATCCAAGAAGAAATCAAGATTAATGCTCGGTTCAGACAAAATCTGAAATTTGTTTTATCTTCTCTAGACATTACGGATGAAAAAGGTTTTTTTTTTTTAATACAGTGTTTCTAATTAAATGCTCTGCTTAAATGCACCTGTTCACTAATAATATATTATGACAACGAAGTAAATGTACTTAATTACCAAGTATAGTTATATACTTATATAGTTACACATTAATTACGACGTAAATACATATTTAATTCGTCATTAAATTATAAGTATTCTCATCCTCTTACCATTTTTACCAGGGTTAATATATTTAAGAGAGTCTAAGCATTGCAAATTTGCAATAGTTCACTATTTGTGTGCAAATTATGTTGTGTAACCATATTTTACATTTACTGATTTACATAGTCTAACCATTGTGTTTCTAGTTACGTCACAAGTTACTATGTCATTGTGTCCCAATTATTTCTTATTTAAAAAAAAAACCTAAAGTTGAATAAGAAAGAATACTCAATGTTTGTAAATAAAATTTTATTTGTTCCATAAAATTAGTTAATGCTATAAGAAAAAGGATTATTACAAAATATGTGTGATGGATCAGTCAAACTTCATCAACGTTGGGAGATTAAATTTACAAACGAAAAAGAAAAACGAATTTAAAAGTAAATGTTGGCCACTAAGCTTAACTATGATTATGAAATCCACTTTTTACTACTGCAAAACACTCAAACTGTTTTATTACGTGACTGCCCCTTATCTTTACTAACCTCTCTCTCTCAACCAAAATAGGCTTTTCGGTAATTTCACGAATTCTCATTTGTTCTCTCCTCTCTCTCCCACCCATTGACTTGTGTGGACATGATTTCAAAAATTCATCAAAAGCTAAATTTATTCTTTAGAGATGTGTGAACATTTAATTTTAATATATGAAAATAAAATATGCACTAACTTCTTAGGATTCAAGCTGTTTTCTAGTATTTTGTTTTTTGTTTTTTACTCATTTTTATATTTCTTTTTGTTGGAGATTATTACTTTTATTTTTTCTACTATTTGTTGAATATTTCGTCCATTATTGCTTTCGTATATTAACATTTTTTTTCGTTGCTTATACATTGATATGCACTCCTTGGTTTTCTAGGTTTTAGAAGAGCAAACCAGTGTGGTAGCTCTTGTATCCCAGTTCCACTCATATCAATCAATTTTAGTTTTTAAGTGCTTCGAGCAAAAATATGGTTGTAAAATTTTGGTAACCCTACGATATCAACGTGTGAATTTTGTAAAGATTTAATGGATGTGGTTGTGTTTATATTTATCATCTAAAGAATTAGAAATGCGCGTAATATGTTTATGGTATCTTTTCAAGATATTTGATTTTTCGTAGAGCAAGTCGACTACTTTGGTACATTATGTCATTTTCTTGCAAAACCGTCTGAATCATTGTGCATCCAAGGATATGTTTTACATTTATGATTTTAACAAACATGTGAATGCATCTACTTGCATCCGGACATAGCAAGATCTCAAGAACTAAATGCGATAACTTAATCATATATTCAAACAGATACAAAGCATGCATTACTTAAATTTGGCTCTCAAGATGTCAAAAGTCTAATTCTACATTAATTGAACTTAATTACATTTAAAATGCTTTAACTATCTAATCTTGGTGAGATTTGGTAACATTATAAAATATCGGCCGGAAATCCTCTAATTAACAACATCTAATAACAAAGAGTCTATCCAAATTTTTGAAAATTACATTGCAAGCATAGTAGTAAAACTGGAGTATAGTAAAACCAAATGAAAATTAAGAAATCTATTTTGTTGACATAAATTGCATACTAGAAAAAAAAAATTGGAGACCATGGTAGTGAGCAATAAATAAAATACTGAACATAGAAAATATAGAAATATAGAAAAAATTGAACCCAACTTTCCATTGGTAGTGAGAAAAAACGAAGTGCATTTGGTAGGTGAATCACCATTAGAATGAAGTCTCGTGGAACCATGGTTATAGCTTATCTATCAGTTGTATGTTAAAAAGTTTGTATAACAAGGAAAAATTATTTTGAATAGTGAGGTTAGTTATTTTGAAAATTAGGGACTTGGTTTTGCTGGATGTTGTGATGTAATTTTGTTTTCTCCATGAATCATTAAATAGTTGAATGCCAAAGAAGTAAAAGTATGTTCTTGAGAGGTGAATCATGTGATGACCAAAAAGATATGACCAAGAATGTTTTTTTTGTGGGTGGTGTTACGAATTCGACCGTTTTGCCAGACGTTACCATGGATTCTGCCGTTTCGTTTTCTTTATATATATATTTTAAAATTTTTAAAACCATAACATATATTGAATGAGAACTTTTGCGGATTTTACGGATTTTGTTTGACCTTTATTTCTAATTACAACGTAGCACATAACTGAAGAGTATTGTGCGGTCTAACACTTCTTAGTTCTTAATGAACCATATATGATTAATACAAGCTCAAAAAAAAAATTAAAAATATTATTTTGTAAAACTTAAATAGCTATTGGAAACTTACTGAGAATAAATAGAATATCTTATAGTTTCATACTATATTACACAATTTTCTACTTTTACTTTAGTTGTTTTTCTTAGAGTATTGTTACAAATTCGACCGTTTTAGTCGTATGTAACTACGGATTCTGCCGTTTTAGTTTTCCATAATTCTATTTTAATGTTTTCTCCATAAATTTAATGTAATTTAAAAAAAAAATAGTACTAAACCAGATAATTTAAGTCATTTGGTTAACATAATTTGTTTTTAATTTTTTGTTTGTTAAACCTTAGGAAAAGGATTAGATGTAGAAAATCTAACTCTAAATTCGTCAATGTTATTGGGAGTAATTAATCTCATTAATCAACTTGATATTGTATTGTAAAATTGAGTTTAATTTTAAGATACATACAAAATTTGTATATTAATTAAAAAGAGAGAAATATAAAATATATATATCACATCCATGCAGGCTAACGTTCAGTTGACTAGCAGCGATAAAAGCAGATAATAAATTCTCACATTTATTTTTTTTTCCATTAAAGCAAAAACCCCACACTCTCTCTCTCTCTCTCCTTCTCTTCTTCCTCTTCCTCTTCTCTCTCTCTTCTCTCTTCTCTCTCTGCAAAAACCCTAAATTTCCTCCGATTTCATCATCTTCAACCTCGTTCGCGACCAAACCTGGCTTCTTAATCACTCCCCAAGCAAACCCTTGTACGATTTTAGATGATTGGGAGAGATAGAGTCGAAGAAATGGGGGAAAAGCCCTAAAAAAAAATCGAAGCTTTGATCTCTCCGAAATTGGAGTTTATTTTGTGTTTGGTGTTTTTGTTTTTTTTTTGGAAATTGGCAGAAATGTATAAGAACCAGCTACAGGAGCTGGCGCAGAGGAGCTGCTTTTGTCTTCCTTCGTATACTTGTATTAGGGAAGGTCCAGACCACGCGCCGCGATTCAAGGCTACGGTTAACTTTAATGGCGAGATCTTTGAGAGTCCTCAGTACTGTTCTACTCTTCGTCAAGCTGAGCACTCTGCTGCTGAAGTTGCTCTCAATGCCCTCTCTAATCGTGGTCCTTCTCACTCTCTTGCCGCCAGGATCTTGGTTAGTTTTTGCTTTTCTCTTCTTACCCTCTTTGGACTTGCCATTTTTTGGCATTTCTAATTTGGAAAATTTTGAGCTTTTTGGTGTTGAATTTGCATGTTTCCTTTAGTTGTTTCAGGTGGCTAGTGATGGGGTTTAAGTCTGTGGTTAGGTTATTAGGGTCGGTGCTGAGATCTCTGAGTAGTTTAGTTAGGGGTTTGGGTTTCTGGGTCATCTCGTTCACTGATGCTTTAGATTAGTTAATGATCTACGGATCCAAAAGTTTGAATCTTGTTCTTGCCCATTCATGTGTTTGGTTGATTAGGGAATCTAAGAGTAGAGAGCTATGAACTCTTTTGATCTTTGGATGCATGCTTCCTTCTGTTGAACTGGTTTTGATACTTTTGTTGTTGCGTGACTGATCATGCTTGTCCTGGCTCTTGACTGTGTAGGATGAGACAGGTGTGTACAAGAATCTGTTGCAAGAAATAGCTCAGAGAGTGGGAGCTCCTCTACCGCGATATACAACCTTCAGGTCTGGTCTTGGCCACCAACCCGTGTTTACTGGTACTGTAGAATTGGCTGGAATTACATTCACTGGAGATCCAGCTAAGAACAAAAAACAAGCAGAGAAGAATGCTGCTATGGCTGCTTGGTCTTCCCTAAAACAATGTGAGTCTTTCCTTCTCACCTGATATCTCCAGTTTTTGTATGGTTTTACTTTAATGAAAGTGTTGTTGAAAAAGTAACCTCTCCTTACGTGGTGCGACTTGTTTGATGTTTTATGATCATCTTGGTTACAGTGGCAAAAGAAACATCAAGTTCAATGCCTGAGCCTGAGAACATTGACGAACTAGAACAGGTGATCATAGCAAGAGCCTTGATAAACTATCGAATCAAGGAAAATATTGGCACGGGAAGCTCCTCAACTGCCCCGGTTCCATTTGCCAAGAAGTTCTATTTGCACAATCCTAGACCAACAAGTCCACAGCCTTCTCCTGCAACCACATCAAGAATCTTACCATTTATTTGCCCAAAACAACCTTCTAGAAGCAGCCGATCCTTAGCAACACCTGCCGGTGTTGACAGAATTATGGCAGCAGCCTTGGAAAGCCGCAGCTACCAGCGGCCTCAGCAGAGATATGCAAACCCAGGAACAGCAGCTCCACCTCCTTATGTTCCTATGAGGCATTTAAGATCACCATGCCATGGGATGGCTCCACCTGTCACAATCAGAACTGCTGTACCAGTCTTCTCTGCACCTCCAATGCCTCCTCCACCTTGTACAAACAACACTCAGCTACCTTCTTCTGCGTATGTCCCATCGCTGATGCGGACTGCACCACCCGTGAGAATTGCACCACCTGTCACAATCAGAACCTCAGTGCCCGTTTTTGCTTCTGCGCCACCGGTTAGAGTTAGAAAAGTGGATATCCAAACCGCTGTAAAGCCCGCAGTTGAGGTAGGAGAAACCCGGATATCTTTGGTCCAAGAAAAGGAGAGCGTTCCAGTCTTGCCTGATACTCTTGAAATTGGAGAAGAAGCAATTTATATACCAATTTCAGGGAGTGAGAAAACACCGGCAAAGGAAACAGAGAGAGCAGATCTGAAGGATTTGAAAGGAGAACCAGAGATAGCAAGAGAGCGACTGGAGAATCTAAGAATCTGAGTCTTGAAGACTGTCTCTGGGTTTAGTTTTTTTTTGAGGTTGGTTTCTGAAAATTGTTACATTAGTAATCGTTCGATATTATACTCGGTGGATCGAGTAGTTTGATAATCCGAAAGATTTGTATTATATTGGGAGTTTTAGGAGGAACCTGGCCGTCATCTCTGGATTGTAGAATTGTATCAGTTTCACTTCCTATTCAGTTCGTTTGTGTCATTTTCTTATAAATCTGTTACCTATCGTTGTTCCAGTCCAGAAGAATCAAGCACTTTTTGTCTACAAGAATGACACATACTCGATCCTTAAACTGTTGGACTGTTTAAAATTTTCAAATATGCATAGAAAGCTTAAAAATCCATCTTTGGTGTGAATATTCTTAGTTCTTTAACTTACCATTCAGTCGCAATATTTGAAGAGCCGTTAAGCTAAAGCAAGCCATGTGTGTATCATTCATTTTTGCAAGGGAACAGATCTTGATAATGCTCCAAGTACCGGGAGCTTAATGAAGCATTTAAGAACTGAGATTCCTTCAATCAAAGTACAAAGCCGACCGAATCTTGTCAGTGTACAACAACAAGATGAATAAGGTTCTACAAATACAAAACAATTCCCAGTTTCCCAGTATTGGGTTTGAAGAAAGTTGGTTCTAAACCCAAAACGAAGAAAGAAGAAGAAAAATTCAGTTACTATACACTGAAAAACACACCAAGAAAAACACATCTTGCGGAACAGTGTCATGTCAACGGGATGCAAGAGACCAGAAGTTGAAGAGAAAAGAGGGCAAAGCAGCAAACCAACTTATGAAGGCTAATGCTGTTGATGTTTCAAACTGAACACAATGGTTCTGTGCGCAGCTATTTAGATCGTTGTCTATCAGAACCGTTATGCCTGCTGATGCACAAGCCGCTGCAAAAGTCAGCGTTGATGTCACCTGAATTTAAATGAACAAACAATTGCTTATTATCCATCTTTTTTCTCATACAATTTTGATAGATTTAGAGGCTAAATGATTCCACAGATTGTAGCAATTTCTTACCCCATCACCGATTGCAAACAAACTCACAAGACGACAGTTCTGTAGTGAGCGTTTGACCATTATAGCATAGACGTCAACCATGGCTAGTGCAAGACTCCACAAGCTCTGCAGACCAGTAGCTGCAACTAGGTAGCTGATTCACCAAATACATTACAACATCTTCAGCAAAAGCCACTAGCAGTAGTCACCAAACTTGATTAAGTCTTATGATTTTATGAAGCATACAGATATAACCCAATATACTATATTAGTACCCATCACGTGCCAAGAATTGAACAAGATTGTTATTACATTGTGTCCAAAGCTTAACGCTACTACAAAAATTCATTTGTCTAGCACATGCAAATTACAACAGCGCTGTAAACACAAACTTACTGAATTCAAGTAACTATCAACAGACACCTGATGCAATAATATCTAATACCCAAAATTAACCAACAACAGTGACCCCATGAGAACTTGACATACACAAGCTTTACATCCAACGTTTAAACTTCTCAAAGACAGCTCATCTAGTTAGCAGCTATCCCACATCACTACACACAAATCTCAAAATCCCCATACGCTTTCTATCAAAAGGCATAAATTTGCTTCTGATTCATCCTTAACGATATTAATAGACTCAAAACCCTTCATAACTAATCACATTAGGCCACACCTGACACTGAATTCGGAAATGGAAACAACACAAAGCAGATTCATGTTCATAGCATCATATATAAGTTACTACCACATTTAAATCAGATAAATTCAAATCTCACAACAAACTCTGAACAGGTTCAATCAAATTCAAAGCACAATTCTGAACAGAAGTAAAAGAAATATTTACCAGAAGGCGGTAACGGAAGGGAAATCACTAGTAGTAGCCATGACACAGAGAGCAGCAGCAGCAAACAAGAACTGGAAGAAACGAAGTGCAAGTCCAAGTAAAGTCCCAGGCATTCCTTCCATATCATCCATCCTCACCCTCGGCGGATTATCAACTTCAGTAGCTGCTGGAGGATCTTCCACCGGATGAACCGATGCATGGCTCACATTCATTTCTTCTTAGTTCTTACCTCCACCAACACACCACACACACTTCAACGCATATCTTTCTCTCAAACCTCTCTCTATCTCTCTTTCCCCAATGTAGATGAAACAAACACAAATCTACGAATCTACACTATCAATCTCCCCTTACCTGTAGAGAATTAATCATCAAATTCACCAAATCATTGGATTTCTCAGTACACAGAGTTGAAGGAGACTAAATCAAACATAGAATCGGAATTTTCGCGATGAATAAAAACGAATCCGAGTTACACGAAAAGCTTGATTTCAAAGAGAAGACGAGATCCGAAAACAAATTTGAGCACGCAGATCGAGTGAATGCGGAGTTGAGGTGTTACCTGAGGGAGAGAATCAAGAAGAGAGGAAGAAATTGAACGCAGCCATGGAGATTGGGTAGAGGAGAAACGAGGAAACCCTAAGCTATTAGAGGGGAGGAAGAAGAAGATGAAGCAGATCGTAGAAATGGTTTTTAAGGTTTATGGGAGAGAAGAAGAAGAAGAGACGAGTGAGTCATTCTTTTGGGATCAAAATGGAGAGAATATGTTGGGAGCTTCACGAAAAGGCTTAACCACACAGCTTAACACTTAAACCAAATCAAATGGTTTAACTATTACTCTATTTAGTACTAATCACTTAACCAGTAAACACATATGTGTTTTTTTTATTATTTCTTTCTAATTTATACATTTTTTTTTTTGAGTGTGCTAAACTATTTAACATTTTTCCCTTTTTCTTTTACAATTTGTATATGATTTTTTGAAAAATTGTTACAAATGATTTATGAATTTATTATGTAGCAATTTAGCAATGTATATCTTTTTTTTTGTTTACTTTAATCGTAGCTAAAAAATGTGATATCATATTCATCATTAGTGATAGAAAAATCTGTTGCAAACAACGAAAAACATGAATTCGATTTTTGCCTAATTAAATTCAGATTGCTACATAACCAATCCGACATGATAAGATGTCTATCTTTCCGTATAAAATATATATATAAATGAATGATACGTAAAATGTTTATTTCTTAGTAAATTTTATACCAATAGAACTATATATAAGAAAACATTTATCGTTTTCAAAGAAACCAATTATTTCTGTATTTTTTTAATTTAAAGAAAAATCGTGTTTTTACAACTAGTGCATCGGGTAGTTTAATAAATTTGAAACGAAACAAAATTGAGAAACAATCAAAATGAAAAAAACTCAACTCATAGATTGAAACCAGAATTGAAATCCTCATTGTCATAAAGTCGATCACCTATTTCTGTATTTTTCACTCGTGATAAAACAATTTCCCGATCTTTTTCTTGTATTCTAGAAAGAAATATAGAACATAATAATAAGGTTTGCTGTTCACAAAAAAAAAATATTTTTTAAAAAATAATAAGGTTTCCAAAGTTTATGAGATGTGTGTAACAATTTCGTTAAGATTTATAAAACTTAAAGAGTATATTTTCTCAAAAAACTAGCCATGGCCAAACCTCAACCTCCCCAAGACCTCGGCGCCGTTCAACTATGATCAAATGATGTCCAAACGCTTTGAAAACTTTCAGCAAGGATCTCTATCGGTAGTAGAATACTCTACCGAGTTTTTCGCGCTTTTGACATGATATGAAGTTTTCGAGCCGACAACTTGTTAAGCGTTTTGTTGGTGGCTTGAAGAAAAAGATCAAAGAACAAGTTGACTTGTTGAACCCTCTCATTGTTGCTGAAGCACATCAACGAGCCCTCACCGTGGAAGCTAAAATTTAAGGAGAAATACGATTTTTGGATGAATATAGCAAAGGCTGTTAGATTTGCCATAACACTAATGGTTTATTCTGGTGGAGAAAAAAAATAGACTTTACCTTTGTTTCTTTCTAGGTCGATTAAAGATAGATTTTGGAGCCCTATTTTTGTGTTCTTTCATTATTCAATATCTTTGCATTTATAAAACGAATGTGTTTTTCTAACCTCGACCTTGATGACTTAAACAAGATCAAGTTCAATCTTTCTTATGGAATTGCAGAAAAAGTAAACGAGATGATACATAGAGTTTACGGATTTGAAACTATAGCAATACGTTTTATTCGAAAGATTATAATGTAGGCTGGTACAACAACAACAACAAAGCTCACCATCTCTCACAAATTTTACAATCGGACAAGTGAAAGAACAGAGACTTGATCAACTGATTCTGTTAACACTTGCAAAACTGTGAATCAGCAACTCAAACCTTCTAATTCCTTACAAGGCTTTCATTCACTTTTCTAATTCGCAAAATTTTAATGTCTATATTGAAATATTCAGATAAAAAACGATACATATTTAAAAATAATACATACTACTTTTATCGATGATATTGAATTATTTTAGTATTGATAATGGATTTAAAGATGGTGTTATAATACAAGACCTTAGTTTGAAAATACAATATTAGCATTTTTGTTTTTGAAAAACAATTACAAATAAGCTCCAATAAAAAGTCAATTTAAAAGAAGGAAAAAACAAATAAATTTTAAACTATATTTTCAATAAATTATACTAGTTAGTATTAATTTACAAAATGTTTTACATATAAATTATTATTAATTAGCTAAAAATTTAATAGAAAAATATATTCTTTTAGAGTGGTAATTAATTTACCTGATTTTAATTTAAATAAGTTTCGATGTATATAATTCAATTTTCCCCTTTTTAATTGCAAAACCTATTATAACATTTGTTCTTTAGATCACACAATTAAAGATTTTAGTGTTTTTTGCTTAGGATTCCAAAATTGTCTAGACAAAAAAAAAAAAATAGTAAAAACACCTTTTTGGTATTTTAAATCCCTTGTTTCTATTTTCAGATATTTAAAAAATATTTGTCCTTTAGTTTTACAAAAATTGCAAAATCTGCCTCGATTTTTCAAAAAATATCTGAGAACTCCGATCTCATTCTCATTCTCTCTCTGGATCTCTCTCTCTCCCATCACATCACCATTGACTGATTTGATCGATTTCACAGCTCCCACCCCATAAAAATCGCCACTCCTCCTTCGATTCCCGCCGGCTAAGAGGTTCTTCTACTTCTTCGGCTCTCTGTCTCCTCAATTCCTCGTCACCACCATGTTCTGGAAGCTAGCCTCTCTCTCTGCATCGTCTCCCGTGAGTTTCCAATAGATTCATTTCTCTCTTCGCTTCTCCTGGTGATCTTCTCTTGATTCGGTTGTTAGAACTTGGGAAAATGGCTCTGAAGTAGATTAGATCATTATCATTGCTCATCATCTCTCTTTTGATTGCGTTTGATTGTGTGTTGTAATTATTGGAGCTTAAGCTAAAGTGATTGTTTTATTTGGTTGTGACAATTTGAGTTAGATGTTGTTCATTCGTTTTGGTTTGCTGATAATGTATATATAGGTGGAGTCGATACTAGACAAAGATAGTTTCACATTGGAAGAGCTTCTTGATGAGGAAGAGATTATTCAAGAATGCAAAGCTTTGAATAGCCGTCTCATCAATTTGTAGGGGTTTCATCTTTTCCTCATTCTCCTTGTGGTTTTTTTATGTATAGCATTTCTTGGAAAAAGTTTCTGATTGAGGGTATTGGTTTTGCAGTCTAAGAGATAAAGCTCAAGTGGAGCAACTGTTGCGGTATGTTGTTGAAGAGCCTCAAGAAGATGCTGATAGCAAACGTGCTTTCAAGTAATATGTGCTTCCTTTGTAGTAGTAACCTGACTTTATCTTGCCTTACATTTCTTTCTTTTTTGTCTTTTTTAGTTCCCATGCTTTTATTTGTTGAATGTTATTTGGCCATGCTCTATCTCCAGATGATGATTGGTTCTTCTTCTCTTAGGTTTCCATTCATCTCTTGCGAGATATTCACATGTGAAATAGATGTTATTCTTAAGACTTTGGTGGAGGACGAGAAGGTATTTTTCATTCTTTTTATTTTTATTTTTTTCGGATTTGGTTATTGTTATCGTTATAGTTGATCTCATTTGTTGAGTCTAATTTTATTTTGCAGCTGATGGATTTGCTATTCTCATTTTTGGAACCGAATCGTCCTCATAGTGCGTTGTTGGCAGGCTACTTCGGCAAGGTCTCCTTTTTACTAATAAGAAGTATGTGAAAGACCAACTGATTTTTAGGTTCTTACATGGCTCTGTTTGATTTAGGTTGTCATATGTCTGATGATCAGAAAGACTGCAGCACTTATGAGTTATATAAAAGTAAGTAATGCCACTCTATTATAGAACCGCTGATAACAATTTTTTATTCTTTTTATCTTTTCGTGCATTGGATTAAATTTTTTAGTTTAGCTTTATGAAAAGTTCCATTTAATGCGACTACCATCGATTACATTGTCATAATCTAGATTGCTTCATGAAATATCTTCACTTACTGCGTTTCTAAAAATAGTTTTTAATAACTTCAGGGGCATGGAAATGTGTTTAGCCAGTTGGTTGATTTAATTGGAATAACATCCATCATGGAGGTAAATGGTTGTCTGATGAGATTCTGTACAGATTGGTATTACTTCACTGCTCATCTTTTCAAAGAAACTCTTTGTGACTATGTAGGTTTTGGTTCGCTTGGTTGGGGCAGATGATCATGTCTATCCCAACTTTCCGGATGTGATGCGATACTTGGCTGATAGCGATTTACTTGAAATGATTGTGGACAAACTAAATCCATCTGTAAGTAGTAAAAGCTTAGGTTATTGCAAAGTAAAAAGAGACTTGAGGCTTCGTTTTAATAAATTTTGGTCATCTAAAAGAAAAAGTTGAACTGGGATTTATCATTGACTATGTTTTTTATACCATTTACAGTTTTTATTTGATGTTCCCATTTCTGACAGCCTTTGTTACTTGAATCAGAGTTCTCCTGAGGTTCAGGCAAATGCAGCAGAAACATTATGTGCAATTACTCGAAATGCACCTTCAGCTCTAGCTACAAAACTCTCTAGCCCTGGGTTTGTTATATTTGCTTTTATTTGAGTTTCATTAGTTTCTGCGGATATATACAATAGTCTGACGTGGCAAGACCTCTATCTTCTTTCTGCAGCTTCGTTTCAAGGATATTTGGTCATGCTATAGAAGACTCACATTCAAAATCTGGCCTTGTTCATTCACTTACTGTATGTATCTCTCTGTTAGATCCAAGGAGATCTGCTGCTTCATCGCCTTTCTTCAATTCTTTTAGAGGTCAACATATGTTTGAGTCTCCTGTCCCAGTGACCCAGGAGACTATTGGTGCCATGCTACCTAAACTAGGTAAGTTGGTTTCTGGTGCTACGGAATCTTCCCATGAAACAAGAAGATCCTTCTTTTATCTATTTGTTGCTGGATGCACATGAAGCAATCACATTGCAATGCATACCTTTTGTGATTGTTTTTTCAGTTTCTGCTGACCCATGACTCTATTGCTCTATTTGGTCTGTTCCATTTGGATTTATGTGCATAGTGCAAAACTGGGAGTTCAATAATTCCATGTTTGTTGAGATTCCTTCATAGCCTTCCTTGGATAAGTAGGAAATATGTCCTGCAAGTTTTGTTAAATTAATGCTCGACTCTTCATTCTTCATTTTCCATATATAA